CCTGAGGAATCGTCCACGTAGAGATTCATAAAGATAATGTGTTTCACAAAAGGTACATGGTTTACAAAGCAAATATTTTCAGATTAAAATACACAGTCTCAGTCTCCTGCTGAGCTTATTGCCATGCAAACTGCTCTCATCTTCTAAGGTATCTGTCCCTTTGCGTGCTGATTTTTAAATAGGATAGTTTCATCTTTTTAACTCTAATGGCTGGTGGGATCTGGAGGATTCTGTGATGCATCACTGCTATTAGAGCAAACTCAATAGGAGAATAAAAGCATTAGACATATTCCCTGTCTGCCCTAACACCCGTCAGTTTTCTGCAACTTTCTGCTTAAGCAGTTTCATAAGTTGACCAGCTTTTGGAAATGCCTCTGGCCTTCCTTATTCAGAACAGACACATCAGAGGATTCATTAGCCTTTCGGTGATATCTGTGTGGCCATTTTATATAAGCTGTCCATTACATCTGGTTTGTTATTTTAAAACTTCACTCCATTCCTATGTGCATGCTTTGCACTTGTGGAACATGTTTTTACTCAGCTTTTCTGTTAGGTCAAAGTAGAGCCCTTCTCTGTTCTTAAGAAGAGCACAACTTGACTCATGTTCTTCAACTAGTTTTAACATGCAGGGTTAAGCAATGTATGGCCTATGAGTACTCCCATTTTTTGTTATTATCTGGAAAATTCTGTCAGATCGTGAACACCAAAATAAAGGCAGTCTTGATTTGAAATTCTTATTGCTTTCATCATTTGAACTTCTTTCTGTCCCCTGTTTCTGTCTTTGTTGGTCTTTTAACACAGACACATGTGTGACACTGAAGTCCCCTTGTGTCAGGTACATGATTATCATCTCACTTGTCCTGAAAACTCTGTATTTACCAGTATTCTATTTGAAAAGTACACTATCAATTCCTGTTGAACATACCAGAAATAATTATGGATGAGTCCTCTGTCATGTCTGTTAATTGAATTGCATATCCTTGACAAGAGAGTTCATCTAAACTGACCAAAACAGCTGAAGATGATGACTGGGAATCTCTCTCTACTAACAATGTTTTTGAAATGTGAAACCTAATCAGCTGGAGTTGGCATTATCCCTCAAACCTCTTCCTTGTGTTGATGGCATAGAGAAATGAGCTGCTTTGCTTATAAATTAATTGTGAGACAGCTTTATTTTGAATTACGACATTTAATTCTGCTGCTGATATAATTTGCTATGATAAAATTAGTTCTTGTTTAGTTTTCCCTTTCCAATAAGCTGTACAATATAGCTGTCTGAAGAGGACATTCATTTAAGGAATACTATTTTTTAAAAAAATCATTATTCTGCCTGCCAAGTGGAATTGGAGTCCTTCAGGATCAATCTGATCCCTCTATTCACTAAATACAGTATCTTAAAATATTCAGTGTGCTGCACAGCAATATAGCAATGGGATAGCAATTATAGCAATAAGATGTGTCTACCCGAGACTGTTTCCAACATCTGTTGCATATATATTCCCAAAAGAGTTGGACTGATAAGACGAGAGCAGAATACCTTCAGAGTATCCTATTCATGTTTGTCAAATATGCCTTAAAGATACACAATTCTCTCTGTAAATACACAATCCAACTAAATGCCACATTAGGTATCTTCACTCTGAGACTGGATTCAAGACTATAATTTTTATTATTTTTTTTCAGTTAGTTTGGGATGTATAACTTGTAGAGGAGATGGTTAAGAGTGGATATTGCCCAAAGAATTGGGGTAAGCCTGGAAGAAGTGCTGGTAGCAGAAAGCTGATGCAATTAATGCTGTCAGAACAGGGTAAGGTGAAAAAGCAGAGGGGTTTGGGGGCAAAGTCTGGACTAGGCTTCCAGCTGAGTTGAATTTTACAGGTTTTTAAAAACAGCTTGACTAGCTGTGAATTACTATATGCATGTGGCATGTGGTAGCAGGGACAGACTTGACACTAACAGGTCACTCTACTCCTATATAATTTTCAGAGATAAGACTAGATTTATGTACAAAATAAATACCTGTGAGGTACACAACTAAGGATCAGAAGATTAATATTAGAAACACTAACTTTCTTGATTTTATTAATCACTCCATCAGTTAATTTTTATTTCTACAGCACCAAACACTTTTATGGTTCAGCTGGACAGGGTGCTGGGACATGTTGTCTAGACTGTGCTTTTGCCAAGAAAAGTTGGACTAGGTGATCGTTGAGGTATCTTCCAACCTGGTATTCTATGATTCTGTGATTTTTACCATTAGGACCTAATTTAAAGTAGATAAAAATCAAAATTTGTATTTAAAAGTTGTAGAAGTCAATTGAATAAACTTACTCACAGGTAAGAATCTGAATTATCTTGTGTATAACTTGGCATTTTGGAGGTTTCTTGCTTTGTTTTTGAAGACTTAAATGGTGCATTGGCATTTTGTCTGCCCAAGTGTCATGTTTGCTTCAATAGGGATTAGACAAACAAGGTAAAAGTATTCATTTTTTAAAAAGATTTTTATATAAATTATTTTTGAAGGAAATAAAATTTTCTCTGAGTTATATGCAGTTAAACATAACATCATTATGCCAGTGCAGGGGAACTAGAAAGTAAATTTGACTGAGCAGGGCTGAAATAGTCCAGATCCTCTTACAGTTGAGAGTGATATATAAGATTTAGGTAATCAAACTGGTAATGTAATTTTTATTTTAAAATAATTAGATTTCCACCTGTCTGCAGTCCCAAATAGTAAGTGTAAAAGGTTTTCAAGGAATTTGTTTTAATTTTTGGCTTGATTTCAGCCTTTTTAAGAACTGTCTAGCTGACTTCCTGCTTTAATAGCTGCTCAAACTTTCTTGAACTGGTGCAGACCTACTGTATGGTTGCTGGGCCAGCTTATCCATTCTCCTTATCCCTTCAAAAGATGCTTGTGGCAAGATGATATAAAAATAGCTTTTACAGCATGGAGATGACCTGACCACCACTTAAGATCAAGCCAAACCCCTGTAGTACAGTGATCCTGAAAGAAGCAATGCTAACAGTCCTGCAGCTGTGAGGAGAAAAAAGAAATGGGAGCTCATCATGAGAGGTGAATTCAGGAGTCCACACTTGACTCTGGGGCTGGATTGCTTCAGCAGTCTTTCACTGGGGGTTTAGTCTGGAGGGACATTTTTTCACATGCAGCAGCAGCAGCATATAGCCCAACAACATGGTTCTGGTGATGATGTCTACATACTTTCTCATTAAGTAGCTTAAGCTATGCCTAATTACATAAAACTAATCACAGAGGCTGAAGTGGAAAAAGATTATATACCCAACCATATATATACCGTAGGTTTCTAATATGCATGTAGGAAAAATTCATACTCTGTCACAGTACATGTGATTGAAATGTTGCTTTTGTAGAAAGAAGATGTGAAATACAGTTTCTCTCACTGATACTTGTCCTTTTTTTCCAGCATTATACTGCATGGAGGAACATTAATGTTCCTCCTTGTTTCTCCAGACATTGCAAAAACATTGTGTCCATATGCTTTATCAATTTAATTTCTCAAGTTGGCTTTGTTTTTGTATCTCCAAGTTTCATTCATGGTAGTGAAAAATTAGGAATATTGTTAGTGGGTTTTGGTGTATTTTTGTGATATTAATCAATAGGTAAAAAGGGTTACTTGAATTCCAAAAGCTAGAAGATTGTTTTAATGCAAAAGCACCATTCTTAAGTCTCAACTGTTATCCAGTCAAAAGCAAAAATGCACACAGTGGTGACTGATGTTTCCAAAAGCTGTATGCATTAAATGTAATGGATATTAAGAACCCTGGGTAAAAGTGAAGTGTCAGCAGGTACTTGCTCTGTGTAATTATTTTTGCTCATACTACTAATTTTCAAACACCTTTTTGATACCACAAAAATATCTGTGAAAGTTGAGCTAAAAATAATTTTAATTACAGACTCTACATGTGACTGAATTTGATTTGCTAGTACAAGAGATTGCAATGACAGCCTTTACATCTTCATATGATTTGTAATTTCTGTTCTTGCTTACTAGTCATCCTTCCCTTGCATCTGGTACACAATCTTGTGGGACTCTGAACCTTGTAGTTTTTTTGTCTGCATTTGGTAGTGATGCTTACAACAGGATAGGTTTCATACTAAAAGCTAATGCCCTTAATCAGCTAAGGGAAGGTAAGAGCTTTAACAATGATTTGTGTTGAACCCTCTTCCCACAAGACTGTGTCTCATGAGGGATCCTGAAAAAACAAAATGCCTTGGATTTACATGTCCATACAGCTCTGCTACCAGTAGATGGTGAGGCAGATTGAAATGGTTTGCTGTTAACACCATCAAAATATGTTTTCAGTGAAAGTATTGAGTAACTGAATCTGCAAGTTGTAGCAACAATCCTATGAGCAAAATTTTGCACACTAAATATGTTTTGTATCTCCTGCTGTTTGAGAATGTGATCAGTTCTGTAGAGATGCAGCCTGCACTTTGGACTTCTCAGGCTCATCAGTTTAACATTTTCAGCTCTTCTCGGAGATCTGATTGCCTTGAAAACCTTTTAAAACACACTTTAATTTTCTCACTGTTTGTTCAGTCCAACATAGGTTAGCTTTGGGTTCTTCATCACTTAGCATAATACAAATGTACTTCATGCCATTTTGAAAGGAATCATCACGGTTGCTTGATTACATGAAATAAGAACAATATCCTTTCCCATCAGACATTTACAGTAGATCAAAATGAAAATTCAAATGTTAAAAGCTGCTTCCTCAAACAATGACAAAAAGTAGTCATGAGCAAATGAGAGCTCAAACACTTCAGTCATTCTTAGTTCCACAAATAGGTTTCGCTTTTGTTCAAACTTCCTGTATTTTGTGAGCTTGTACATGTTCAACAGGGAGCTATGAACAGCAGAAACAGTTACTTTAATTTTTTTATCATGTGGCAAAGCAGTAAAATATCTGCAATGTATTTCATGGACAAAGATTCCAAACTGTCTAACTTATTTCAACAGGCAAGCAGTCCTACAACAGGAACAGCTCCCAGGAGTCAGTCACGGTTGTCTGTCTGCCCTTCCACTCAGGATATTTGTAGGTATGTACTGAGAAAAGTATACTCTAATATGGCTGATACTTGTTATTTGTTTTTATTAAATATTGTATAGCTCTTGCTTCTGCTTAACTTTATTCATAATTTACATAGACTTTAGTTTTCTTTTGATCTCTCTGGTTTTGTTTTTGCTTTTGTTCTCATGTTTTTCTATTAAAATTCATGTTCTCATTTTCATCCTTTTTTTTGTGATTTCTCTCTTTCCACCCACCCTTACCATTTCCATCCCTTTCCTTTGCTTACTGCTTTGTCTAGATCTACTACCTTGCATGACTTGTCAGAAGATGAGCTTGAACATGCAACCCCTGTCATGGTGCTGACCCCTTCTAATAGGGAGTCTGGTAAGAAACACGTAAAGCGAAGGTTTAGGCGGAAAAGAGAGACTGGAGACAATGGTGAGCACACAGAAAAGCAAGGAAAGGGGAAGGACTGTAAACTGCATCCTGAGCCTCCGAGATCCAGCTGGAATGCATCTGATTCATCATCATCTTCGGATGAGAGTCAGTGGGCTCAGGCTAGGAGGAGAGCAAGAGAAAAGGCCAGACTGGCCAGGAGAGGGAGAAGAAGCAATAGATCATGCAGTAACCAGGATGGGTCCTCAAGCAATAATGCTGTTGAACTTGTCACCTTGGGGACAGTGGGAAAAAAGAAACAAGAGGTATCTGACCCTGAGAATCCTACTTTAAACCACCGCCGAAGGGTTCCAAGGCTTAAAGAATCACAGTCTTCAGCATCATCTCAGGAAGCAAGGATTTCCTCAAGAAAATGTGGGAAAAGCAAAGGGAAAAGCTACCACAGAGATCGTCAGCCTGCACGTTTCTTTAGACACAGTAAAGATTTGAAGGACTCCTTTGCAGAGGCAGGCTCTGGCAGTGATGCTCTGGCAGTCCCAGATAATGGAGCACCTGCTGGGGCAGGGCCCACTGTGCCTCGTGCTGTTCAGAAGCCTCCAGTGTTCTATGATGACTGGTCTGATGACTTAGAAGTATGCAGGTTAGTCTCTAATAAGAAAGATTTAACATTCTTAAGAGGAATTTCTCATTGCCATGGTCTGAGTGACCTTCTCTTGACTGCTTTCTGTCACTACTTCTTAGTAATAAACTGCTAGGCAGGCCACAGGAAATAATACAAGAACCTTTGCTACAGAAAAGTTAGCATATCTCAATCTGAAGACATACTTCTCTTACTTAAAAACAGCAGTCCTACAAGGGAAACAGATGTTTTCTTTTCCTCTTATCTATCTTCTTGAAGAGGGACCCACTGTGTCTTCTGACTATTGCTGTGTTTTAAATCTTGAGCCAGAGGCAGAGAATGAAACAGAGTGCCAGATAGCTCAATACAATGGGATATGGAGCTTTTCCTCCTTAGATGATCAGTTCAAATCCAGCTTTGGTCCCTATCTGTCATTTTTCATTGACTTATATGAAATAAATTTATGGTCTTGATTCAGTGTCCTCTAAAGTTGCCATTACCCTCAGGAATCTGATGGATGATGCCTTCAAAACATCCTCTCTGGTGTGACATAATTTGTATGGCACATTACAGTGCCAACTACCTCTACACTGTGAATGTGTAGGGGCTGTTAGGTCAGTACCCATCACAAGGATTGGAATGATACAAAAGGATGATTGGGCAGCATAAGCGTTAAAATAAGCTTTGGGAAAGGAAAAGCAACACCAAGAGTTCTCTTTAGTTCAGAAGTTCAGGCTTCTGACAGTCTGATGTCCTTGTGTGAAGCATGCAACCAGAAGGTGAGCATTTTACTCTGGAAATGAGAGCAAGCTAGCTGCTTCTGAGCTAACATCCAGATTTGGAGTACACATCTGGGAGGTCTTGAGTTACTTAATTTAGTGGTAAATGAAAATGCACCATCCCGTAAGTTTAACAGAACTGAAACGGGCATTTCTTTTTCTTGTCACAAAACCTGTGAGCCAGCATTGACTCTCATCTACAAAATGTAAATCAGACTTAGTTTCTTCATATGGTAACCCAAAACTTCTCACTTTTCTCTGCTGGGAAGAAATTAGCGTGGAAATGTAAACACAGTCAGGATGAGGAAGTTCATGATACCACATCATGCAGTTTCACAGTATACTTTAACCTCGTAACATGATACAAAGATCCTAGTTCTAAAAAGAAAAAAGGTAACTTGCAGGCTTTTTGTTTTTTCATAGCAGAAGATATAAGCCATTACTAATACAGCTAGTGCTATGTGCTCCTTGTTATGCTTACCAAGAAATAAATATACATTTCCATTGTCTGACCCTTGTCTGTCATGATAATTTATGATTCTTAAGAGTAAAGACCAGCTGGTTTTGTACATGAGCTTGTATATCAGGAACAGACCACTGGCTTGGGACCTCTTCACCTTATGGAAATGCAAAGAAACAGCAACAGTGGTAACCATATTACTTGAAATGTATATGCAGTATGATGTAGAGGTGTGCACAGATAACTACTTCAAAAACTTCAGAGTTGTCTTAAATTTCTGAACCACCAAGCCTGCACATATTGAAGATCCAATGTAGTACACACAGGACATGTATAACAGGTCATTTAATAATTATTAAGAATCTAAGCTACCTAAAACCTGAAAAAAATATTTAGCATGGGTCTTTATATGGGCTTCACTGTACAGTGTTATATATATATTAAAGTTTTGTAATATCTATAAATAGATAGATATTAAAGTTTTGTAATTGTCTCATGTGGATTAATCCTAATTGTTGCCCAAGTCACCAAACTTTGACTTTGCTTTGAGATGAAAAGTGGACTTGTCTTTTATCTGTCTTCTTGACCCATTGAATTTTATTATAATTATTCAGGCACTGTTTGTCAGGCTTTTTTTTCAAGGATGAACCTTTTGGGTGTGCATGCAGACTTTTCAGGCAGGCATGTTTAACTGAGGAAAGTTGAAAGCTTTTGACAAGTGTGTGCCCCCAGGTTCACTATCAGTGGAGATGCCCTTTGAACAACCAGTGTTAATATGGTTGTTTAGGCAGCATTACTACCAATTCAGTATAGGCCGTAGTTTCTGGTTTTCAGAACAGGTCGTTGCACCTAATTGATTCATGATCTGTGGTAAGTTTTTCTTCAAATTCATGATTTCGCATCTGAAACAAACGAACAAAAAAGAATAATTACATGTCAATGTAGTTGAGCATAGAGACACCATTTTTCTGCATGAGAAATAGAAAAAGGTCAGAGGACTTGTGATGTTTATTCTAAGGCTGGATAAGCATAGCTGGTTGTGATGTGGAAAATTTGTTTTCATCCTAGCTGTTCGTATCTTCTAGAGGTATGACAACACTGGGTGAGAGGAATGGCCCTCACCTAAGTGGGATTGTGTGGAAATAGCAGAGAAACAGGGATCTTAAACATATCTTGGTGCCAGTTATTTTGTCTTTAAGTTTTTGGAGAGACTTTTTTTTCCCTTTATTTCCTCAGTGTCAGTTGTTGACAGTGGAACACTACTGTAAGCATTTTCTTCAATCTGCATTTGGCAACATGAGCAGGAATGTAGTAGGACACACCCAATTCCAGCTTAAGCACATTAGTCAGATATAGTAGCATGGCACAATATATTCTTCAGCTAGTCTAAAGTAAGCCCCTTAGTCACTTCATGTGAAACATTTGCCCTTCTACTGTCACTGTTTCTTTGTTTTCAAAGTGATGAAACAATGTCATGGCATCAATAATGGTCTTTACAATTTCTTCCCTGAACTACTGATTTCTTCTGGAATCCACTAGAAGGCAAGGTTTCTGCTTCTGAGATTAGGGACAACATAAATTCTGCTGATGCTGAGTTGTTTTGGCACGTAATTATATATATTTATTTTTTTTAAGATTCACAGGATAGGCTTTCTAAATCATACAGTTGGATACCCCTTTTCCTAAATTGCCCTGTGTCTGAGATTTTCTTCATATATACTTTATGCTGGAATTTGCGATGTGGCTTGAGGCACAGCCTCAGAAATAGCTTTCTTTCGTGTGCATGTGGATAATCTCCCTGAAGGGAACAGCTATGTGTGAGACATGATAAAGTGAATGGATTGTGAGGATTTAGTCCCATGGATTTTCACATGGGAATTACTAAGGAAAGAAAATTGGTTAGTTGCTATTACCACTAGTGGATCATAAGTGCTTTGTGTTTTGACTCTGAATTAATCTTAACGGTGATCTTACAGGAGAGTTGAAAGATATTTTCTGTTTGACTAGTTGGGCTTCTGGTGTAAAATAATTTTGTAGTATTGATTCAGTCATTTCAGCAAAACCACATGCACTTAAATAAGGCAGAGTTTCTCACTCTGAAAAAAATGCTTATTGGAAGTCGAGTTTTGATTTTGTTGAACTCTCTGAATCACTGTTTATGCAGTCAGGTAATAGAAGGCCCTCATTTGAGAAGTAACTAGAAGAGTATAGCATGCCAGAAGACAGGTAGAGATGGGGAGAAGAAATAAAGAAGATGATATTGATTTATGAGATCTGCAGAATCTATTTCAAGTATAATTTTCAAAACTTAGTTTTTAAAAGCTAGTGTGCAAATTTAAAGGCTATTAAAAACTTTGGAAATTAGTAAAATGGGCATTTCTATATGCTAACAATCACAGATAGGAAGAAATAGTGTATATTGCACATGACAAGAAGCAATATGATTATGTAGTTTCTCTCTGGGAAATCAAGTGTTGTAACAGGGGTTTTTTTTCATAATGTTAATTAGTAAAACCTGCAAAAAAATAGTATCTTACATGAAAATACTTACATTCTGAAATATTCAGGTAGAGGAGTGCTCACACAATCAACAGACAGAAAGCTGCTTGGGAGGAAACAAGTCCTTGAGTTAAAAAAGAGAAAGTTGAACAGTTGATAGATATATTTATAGGTTTAAATTCTACCATTGATATTTAACACTCATTTAAACTACTTATACTGAAACCATGATGTTGGATCCAGTAAATAAACAGTAGTGCAGAATATGTAGACTTGAAATACCAACCAGAGCCCTCTAAAATCCCTGTAAACTGGAAAATGCTCTACTTCCAGCCTTTAGTGTTTGGTTGAAGAGGGTTTCTGACCTGTTTCTCCCTGGGATGTTAGTGCATACCTTCTGGTCTCAGGATGACAGGTTCATTAGGAGCTAAGTCTCTGAATCTTGTCCTGTGTGTTCTCCTCACCCCTTCCTTCAAAAGAGCTCGGGCTGCTACTTACTTTCCCATTGAGAGCCTTATTTTTGCAAGGTGACTTTTTGATAGGAATCTTCCGCTTCTTGAGGAATATTCTCCTCTGTATGATGGTCTGGTTGTTCATTAGTCTTTGAAGCAATATGAAATTCTGGTTATACAGTCTCTTTTGGAAGCTCTCCATGATTCACAAGGATGCAAGGAGAGCCAAAGCAAGGCAAGCATATCTTTGTTGTGGTTAGACTCATTTTTCTGGGGGACAACTGAGTCCTAGCTTCTGCTTCTTTCTCTCAAAACCTATTACTATTTTTAATGTAAACAGGTGAAATGGCACCACTTCCCCCTAGAAAGCAAGGGTGAGAGGATACCCTTGGTTCTAAGGGTCCCATCATTAAATACGTAAAACTTGCGTATTTTCTATATGGAGTTTCGTTCCTTAAAGCTTTGACTTTTTCATTAGTTGGGTGGGAGGAAATCTATATCTTAAGATGCAGTTTCTAGTTCTTTGAACTTTTTCAGTGCAGTTAATGTTGTCAGACACATATCTTGAGTGGCACTGACAGGGCATCTGAGGAGCACTTGTAACTCTTCAGACAGTTAGATATCCTATTTATCACATATAATGGGAGATTAATAGAAGGACAAGAAATGTTGACAAAATAAAATATTTAGTGTTCTTTTGCTAATGTTGTTTGCTTTTGGGTCTCATACAAATTCATATCACTTTTACAGAAATGAAGAGAAAGCTTTCCCTGGGCCATTATGAAATTCCACTAGTGTGGTGCAACATTTCGAAAATGTGTTTTCCTCTAG